GAAATCTGGGGGAAAAAATCTCCCTTCCTCTCCAGTTTGTTCCATCGTGGCAGAATAAGAAAGTAACTTGAGCATCTGGTCCCTGCTACACCTGGCAGATGGCGTGCCAGACATGTTGTTACTTGGACCCCCAGCCATCCCTCCTCTGCAGCTCCTGGCAGAAGGCCAGCACTCATAGGCCTGTGCATCTCAGCACTTGGGTCAGGGAACAGGCTGTGTGTGTGTCCTGTGCTCCCCACACCCAGCCAAGGCATTCTGTCAAATGTTGAAAGCTAAGTCACATTTTTTCTCCTTATGCTGAGACGTTCCAAAAATTTCATTTTGCGATAAGCATCTGTAATTCCTCTGCTTGTTCCTTGCATGCAGACATTCCCTCTGGCAGCTTTCTGCCAGCAGCTCACCTGCTTCTCCTCAGCTTATCAGCTACCAGTGAATATCTGAAGCTTTCAGTCCCTTTCAGGTTCTTATTTTAAAATGTCTTTTGGTTAAGAGAGGTCATTATTGTACCTCACACAGATGTTTATCCTGACCCAAAGTATTTTCTTTTTTGCTAAAGTCATTTTATTTTTTTCTTAGAAAATAGGAGGAAATAGGAGACAATGATAATTTGTTACTTGTCCATACACGAAACTCATGGACAAGCTGAATTGTGACCAGCCTCGTGTGAGCATCTTTGCACAGATGGAGTTTAGAGACCGTGAACTGATAACGAAATAGGCTGTGACCTCTGGCTGCACCCAGAGGAGGCCATGGGCACAGGCCAGGCTGTGCTCATTCAGTCATTTCAAATATTTGTTATGCTACATCATTACCTTGAATGATCACAAGAGCCTCAGCTTTGACAAGCCACTCTTGTTTCCTAGGCTGTCCAGAAATGCTTTTGAAATAGTGATATTTACAGTTATGCTGCACATTTTCCTTTGCATCTTGAGCAGTTTAAAACAATAACAAAGCATGAAACCTACAAACAAATCTTGGGTTTAATTTTCACTGGTGACAGGTAACAGGATGAGGGAAAATGGCCTCAAGTTGCACCAGGGGAGGTTTAGGTTGGATGTCGGGAAAAAGTTCGTTACTGGGAAAGGCTGCCCGGGGAGGTGGTTGAGTCACCGTCCTGGGATGTGCTTAAAAACCGTTTGGATGTGGTGCTCAGGGATGTGATTTAGCAGAGGGTTGTTAGAGTTAGGGTAGTATGGTTAGGTTGTGGTTGGACTTGATGATCTTGCAGGCCTTTTCCAACCTGAGCGATTCTATGATTCTATGAATTACCAGGTTGTTTGAATTATTATCCCTATTAATCTCAAAAACTGGCTAGGTCTCACCATTTAACTGTAAGCCCAGCAGGTTTCAGGAGGTGAACTGAAGCCCCATGCCCTAAGAGCGAGTTGTTACAAGTAAATTTCAGCTTCTGGAGAGGACAAAAAAGCTAGGGTTCGTTTGAGTCCTGATTTACAGCGTAAAGCCTGAGAACAGTGAAGGCTCAGAACATATGAGGCAGAAGAAAACCCAGTATTTCTTATAAATGTGGACTAATCATCAATGCTACTGGTTAGGGGAAGACAAAAGAAAATGATAAAATGCCACAGATTTGAAAATACTTAAAAACAGTGGGCAGGAGAATGCAAGAGACAATGCTTCTATTTTTCTCACTTGGGAAAAATGCTCTGAGGTTTGATTTGGAAGATGGGAATTCTGTTGATTTACTTCTCCTATTTTTTTTAGCTTCACAGTCTGTGGGCTACAGCACTTTAATTCCTGGGGACACCCAAATAGGGGGATTAAAAGTAACCCTGAGGAAACGTTACCAACTTGTAGAGAACCTCAGTGACACTCTACCTCTCTGCCTGTTGACTTTTTCTCATTATCAGACACACCTTATCCCACTGACGACACCTGTCAGAGGAACTTCTTTGCATCCAAATCTGCAAAGTTTGTTATGAAGTAACTACCTGGATATTAACGGATCCCTTTGGGGTGTAATACTAGAATTTGCCAACACAGCACATTCCTTAAAGAAAAAAAAAGAAAAAGAAAAAAGGCTCTTGGGTTTCTGTGGAAGACGGAAAATAGAGAGGTGAGGTGAGACAGACCCTGGAGGCAGTGGAGTACCCACTGGCCTGCCCACAGTAAGGACAGTGCTGCCATGGGGGCTGCTGCGATGACAGCAGAGGGCATGTCGACAGCATCACACAGAATGGGGCTGTGAAGGCCAACTAGATACTTAGCTGCCATTAAAAACAAACAAACAAAACCTTTCCCAAGGGATTTTGAAGATAAATAGGTGAAGGAATTTCACACACGTGCTGAGAACACACATGGGCTGAGAACATCAAACTGCTGCTTAGATCCAGGAAACTGTTTGCATGGGATAATTAGTGCTCCTGGGACAAATACATCCCTGCACATGAGGCACCAGGAGCTCCAGGTGCTGCCAAGGCCATGATGAAAAACAGACGAGGCAGCCACGTGGCTCAGAAGCAAAATTCAGCCATGGAGCAGATCACTGAAGGGATAATGGCTCATGTGTACCAGGACAGAGCATGATGAGCACAGACAGAAGTTGAAAGAACATTAAAAAAAACCCTGTGGCTACGAGCAAAGGTGGTGCTTTGTGTGCTAGACCTTGTGGAGTGCTCAAGCGTGTAATTGTTGTTACTGTGTTTGGCATTTGCTTGTCGGTTCACTATCAATTATTTTTGTCTCCGGAAGAAACTCTGAACTCTGCTGAAGGGTTGAAGTAGCAGGGCAGTCAGGTGAAGCAGCCAGCTCCTCACCTGAGTATAAAGTGGGGCCTATTCACACTGATGTTATGGAGCTGTTCCCATGTACAGTGGTGCCACTAAGAGAGTTGTTTGGCTCAGTTCTGCCTTCAGCATGCTCTTGAAATGCCCACGGCTGAGGAATGAGGATCCCAGTTACTGTGCCTGCTTACTCTAACTTTGCCATTGTCTTTGCCTACCATTTGTGCAGTGGTATAACCTGCAGCAACATCCGATGGCTTTTTCCTAACAGTTTGGCAAATCCTTTTTTGAACAGTTGCACGAGTATTACTGCCTCACATCTATTTGTGCCAGCTGAAGTTGCCACAATACTTCTCACTACTTCTGTCAAGTAGTCCTGTGCTGCATGAGCATCTTGTCCCTCAGATATGCTCTTTTCAGAGTGATCACAGAACAACAGAATTGCTGGGGTTGGAAGAGATCTCTGGAGGTCACTCAGTCCAACCCCCTGCTCCAGCAATTCCCCACAGGAAAACATCCAGACAGGTTTTGAGTATGTTCAGAGAAGGAGACTGCACCTCTCTGGGCAGCCTGTGCCAGTGCTCTGTTATTCTTCAAGAGAAGTTTTTCCTTGTGTTTGTATAGAGCTTCCTGTGTTTGTGCCCACTGCCCCTTGTCCTGTTGCTGGGCACCACCAAAAAGAATCTGGCTCCATGCACTTCATTCCTGCTCTTTAGATAACTACATGCATTGATAAGATCCCCCCTTCAGCCTTCTCTTCTCCAGGCTGAACTGCCCCAGCGATCTCAGCCTTTCCTCGTATGGGAGATGCTCCCGGCCTCACATCATCGCTGTGACCCTCTGCTGGACTCTCTCAGCAGTTTCCTCTCTTTCTTGGCCTGGGGAGCCCAGAACTGGATCCAGTACCCCAGATATGGCCTCACCGGGGCAAAGCAGAGGGGCAGAATCACCTCCCTTGCCCCACTGGCCAGGCTCTTTCTAATGCTGTGGACCATAGTGCTTTTTTCTCCTGTTGGTGGATAGAGAACTCCTTGATGGACCAATTGCTTGAGAGGTGTGAAACCCTATAAACAAACAAGATACGTGCAGGTCACCTGTGCACATCAGGCATCAGCATTTTTCATGCTCACCTCGCATTCTTTCAATGCCGAGTGTTCCCCGCTGTATGTACATTCATTCTGGCAAGCTGGAACCACACCATGGTATCTGTGATCCTGTCCCAGCACTGCCTGCTATTGGATCTCCTTTAAGAAGGAACTGTCTTTTTTTTTTTTTAACTGCTTTTGAAGCCTTCTGGCTTCTAACCACCGTGCTTGCATGCGAGGAGCCAGACACCAGGGACATACGTGTGGTGGTGAATTTTCTGCTGCTATTGAGCTTGTTCTGGTTAGGTTTCATTTGTGCTGCTGCTGGTGGGCTGGGCTGCTAATGGCTGCGTTTAGTCTTTTGTAGCACGACTGCTGCTGCAACTGCAAAGCAGCCGTTAACTACCGATCTTTTATAGAACTCTAGAATACGAGGGCTGCTCTGAAAGTAACGCCTCTTATTTCACGATGTTGGCCCACGATATCAGAGGTGGATGTCGGTGGGACGGCAGCAGAGGCTGAATCTTCCCACCCATATTCCAGGCCGAGCCGTGTGACGGATGGCAGCAGAGGGGCGGTGTGACAGAACGGGGTCTGACACGGAAGCGTGCCCGAAGCCCCGGGCCCGGCCCTGCAGTCCCGGCTGCGGCTCCGCGCGCTGCCCTCCGCCAGCGGCCCCGTGCGGCGCTCCGCCCTGCGGGACGCACTGAGCGCGGCTGTTCGGAGCTCTGGGCGCCTTCCTGGAAGGAGAGCCGAGAGCCGGCCCCATCCATCGCACGCCGCCGAGACCTTCTGTTTCTCTTGCGCGGCTTCCCGTCAGCGACTGCAGCCCCGTACGAGCCCATCAGGGCGCGGCCGCCCCGAGCCCGGCAGAGGGCCGCTCTGCTCCGCTCGCTCCTTCCCGCCGCCCCTCCCCGCGGGCGGTGCCGCCGCGGTGCATTGTGGGGGACGTAGTCCCGCGGGCGGCGCATCCCCGCGGGGCGGCGGCGCGCGCGGACTACAGCTCCCAGCGCGCCGCGCGGCGCCGGGCCGGCCGTTCGCTTTGAATGATTTCACTGCGGTCGGCGCTCGGGGCGAGTTTCGCGGCGGCGGCGGCGCGGTGCGAGGGGCGCTCCGCAGCGCAGCGCCGCGCCCGTGGATGGCCGCCCGAGCGGGCTCTGCCGGCGGAGGGGGGGCCGTGGCCGGCCGCGGGCCGCGGCGCTGCTAGGAGCGGGGGACGGGCCGCGCGTTCGCCTTTCCGCCCGCCGGCTGCGGTGCCCCCGCCGCCGACATGTCGCTGGGCATGGAGGAGGAGGAGTACGCCCGGCTGGTGATGGAGTCGGAGCCCGAGTGGCTGCGGAGCGAGATCAAGCGGCTCTTCCAGGAGCTGGGCGAGACCACCCGCGAGAAGATCCAGGCGGCGGAGTACGGGCTGGCCGTGCTGGAGGAGAAGCAGCAGCTGAAGCAGCAGTACGAGGAGCTGGAGCTGGAGTACGAGACCATCCGCGCCGAGATGGAGCAGCTGAAGGAGGTGAGGCCGGCGGGGAGCGGCGGGCCGGGGCCGTTCGGGGCCGGGGCCGAGCCTGGAGGCTGGATGCGGAGGAGGCTGCGTGCGGAGGAGGCTGCCCGCCTCTCCCGGCGTTGCGGCGGAGGGCCGGGGGGGGCAGGGCTCGGTGCGGGCCGGCTGCGAGAACCGCCGAATCTGTGCCCCCGCCGAAATGCGGCGGGCTTCAGTTCGCTAACCTTCACGCCGTTCCGTGCTGGCCGGGTCTCGTCTCGCCGTCAGGTCTCCTGACGCGAGACGTTCGCCGCCCCAAGGACGGGCAGCCCGTGCCGGCTGGCTGTGCCGTGTCCCGGCCCGCAGGTACCCGCTGGGCGCTCCGAGCCGTGCGGAGCGATCCCGCGGGACTCGCTCGGCTGCCCCTGCCCCGCTTATTTTGGTGACTGTTTCTATGCAGGCGAACCACGCGCTGCTTTGCAGCTGATGTAGGCCTTGCCTTGTTTGCAAAAGATCTGATGTCGCCTGAAACGTGAACCCGCGTGGTCGTGTTCGGCCAGTGTGATCCGTGTGCTGTTGGTGTTCGGTTGATGTGATTTGAAGTAACATCGCAATACGCTGTGTCAAAGGGGAAGTAAATACAAATGGATTCGTAGCAATTCAGCTGAACCTGCGAACGCCCTCACTTCCTGCATCCTGTGCGTCTGATGGACTCTGCTTAACATAACAAAAGCAAAATAAGCGTAAGCAGAGGAGGTTCATTATTTTGAGTTAAATATCTGTATTTTTACTAACCAAATGCAGGCTGAACCTCTCTATTCATTGCAGGGGAGTTGGATTAGATGACCCTTAGAGGTCCCTCCCAACTCAAACGGTTCTCTGGTTCTCTGGCTGATGCCACTTGGAACTGACTTGATTCTGGCAGTACAAATATCAGGGGTAACAAGTGTGTTGGCATCATCAGCCCTTGGAAGTAGAGGTGCTGTGTGAAAGATAAGGGAGTCAGAAGCAGTCTTGAAAAGAAAGAGTGATAGAGTTGTGCTGAAGGGGGAGGAAAATCAGTGAACCCGTTGGGATGTGGAAACATGGCACTGGGGGAGGTGAGGAGACTGGTGTGACCTCGCTGAGCTGGAGTCTGAATGCAGGGCGATGCTGGGGTGGCTCAGTCACAGGTGATACCTTACTCCCCTTGGTTGGCTGTGGGCCTCATGAATTTAGTCCTTAAGGCGAGAAAAGGCTGGAAGGCAGCTGCTGCGTGTTCTTTTAGAGCTACATTTCAGAGGCTTGAAGAAATTTGGGAAGAATTAAAAAAAAAAAAAAAAAAAGGATAAGCAATGATTCATTCTTTTTGCTTTGAATATTCTGGAGAATTTGCTTTGTGTGTGCATGTCCTGCTGTAATTAAGTCAAAACCTGGGAGGCAAACAATTCTGGGAACAATCTGAGGACTCTACTAGTCATACTACACAGGGCAAAACATTGCTCCTCTTGTGATGTTGGAGAGGAATCTGGTCTTCATTAGAATGTGTAAACCTTCAGCAGATACACGAGGTGTGTTGTTAAAGGAGGGGTTTATCTTTGCTGTTTATATAACTTCTTGCTTTTCCCAGGCACACTGAGAGGCACTTTGCACGCAGGACTTGCTGTATAGCAGTTTGAAGGGATTGTGCCTTAGGTTGCATGGGGTTGCTCCTGGGGGAGGCAGCGGAATTGCTGTCTAGAAAAGGGGTGCTTTCTGTCTCTTGCTTCTTAAACTTAAACTTCATGCAGCCTTTTAAAATACAGACATTGCAGTCTCCTTAAATCTAGTTCTATTTCTCTCCACTACATCTAGAGACATCAATAGCATAAAGCCATGTTATGCATAGAAACACAGCAAAATTTCCTGTCTTGCTTGGTGTTGTAAATTTGGTTATACTTTAATTTGTTTAATGTTATGAAGCATCCCATATCACAGCCCTGTTCATCCAAAGGTAAATGGGCTCTGAGCGTGGGAACTTTCTGATAGAGGCTGTTGAAAGTACAGGCTTTTCTGTTGCAGCTGTCAGATCTTGCACAACTTTCCGGCCAGCTTCTCCCTTATGCCCTTGTATCTGTGATTGTGGCAGAATTTCCTAGCTGTAACCTCCACTGTTTTATCCCTTTGATGAGTGTACATGCCATCCTTAGAGCTGGACCCTGTTTTGCAAACCCACCTGCATGTACACAGTATTTGCCATTCAGATCATCCTGGTGACAGTGCGTGGCTGTCCTGTTCTTGCACTGAGGCTCTCCACCTCACCAAACTCTTCAGTTGGAGTCCTTGGAGAATTGTAGATTTTTCCCCAGATTTGTACTTCCACTGTTCACGTGCTGGCTTGCATCTTGTACCTCTCAGGGTAATTGTGCCACGTTTCTTCTATTGTTTCCATTTGAGATACCTAGACTGAAGTAGAAACTGTCTTCCCAGGTAAACTTGCTATTTCAGTTATTTCAGTCCCACACCTATTTTTGTGAAATGAAATTGATTTCAAACCTTGCTAAACAATATGGTTTAGAAATACATTGTCTTTTTTCCCCCAGTTTAAAGAAATCAGATACTGACTCTCACTGAAATAATACATCACGCTGTATGTTGATTGCTTTGATTGTTATTTGTCCCCTCTAGGAGATGAAGCAATAAAGAATTGTTTCTGTAGACTGTGTTCAACTAAGAAATCATCCTGTGAGCCTTTGTCTGTGAGGATGCTAATTGTATAAATTATAGGGCTGCCTACCTGCCTGAGCCAAGGTTGCTGTACTCACAGGGCAGGTATGTAGGATCAGCTCTTTGTATGCTGAAGCTCACAGAAGTGATGGGAATTCATTTATTGGCATCCTGATGATTTGTAGGACAGTGTGGCTTGGAAGGTTAGCTTGAAAAAGAGCTTATCTGCTTTGCTTAGTACTTTTGAGTTGCTTTTGAGATGCCAGTTGGATTTACAGCTGACTATTTGGTTAGATATGAAACTGGCTGCTGTCCAAAGCTACTTTCAAATTAGGTGGTTATGCAGTATTGGTGATGGTAGACTTGCATTTAAATCCCTCAGAATGCAGGGGCATGATTATGTTATGAATTATTTATTTCTGTAGTAATGTAAAAGGGTGCTTGTAGATTGTGGCTGTCCTGAAATTCTAAAAGCATGTGTCAGTACATTGCAGTTAATGCCAAGGCCTTCTTTGCTGTGTATGTTTTAAGGGAAGGGGGTGGGTGGAAAGCTTACAAAGGCAGATAAGAGCACTGATACAACTGGGGTCCTACTTTTTTCTCTCATACTACTTGCCTTCATCAAAATATAGCCTGCCTTTTTTTTTTTAGTTTCCCAAAACCTTTTTCTGTTGTGTGTGATGACGTGAAGTTGTGCTCTTCAGAAAGCATCAAATGTACCTCATATCAAAAGCAGATGCATGGTAGGAGTGTTACATAGCAGTCAGAATGTCCAAGTGTACTGTGATGAGCAAGCCAATGCAAAGGTATTGTGAACATTAAACACTTCAGAAGAGTATTGCAAGCAGTGTTTTGTTTTGTTTTCATGGGGAGGAGAAGACAAAGGGAACATGTTAACCAAATCTTTGGTTAACATAAAATATTCTTTGGAGATGACAAAGGAATGCCTGGAGAGAAAGCAGTGAGCTGTACGTGACTGTTCATTTCTCTGTAGGGTGGCAGTAGCTCTTGTTACTGTTTTTTTGCCTTTAAGGATCATGTATTGACTTTGTTCCATGACACAGACTCTCTGCAGAGGGCTCCTGGATAGGCTTAGAAGCTGTCTCCGAAAGAAACATGCAAATGAAATCTTGAGCTGCCTCATTTCTCATTAAGATGAAGTGGGGCATATTCTGGAGGCGATACGTGCCCAGGCTGTAATATTTGTGTAGCTTATTTGAATGTATTGCTTGAGTGGAGTGTGTAGCATCTGTGCTCACTCAGGGTGGTTCTGCTTTGGTTAATTCACTCACATACGTAACAATTAATGGGATACGTGATACTTGATCCGTGCTGTTTTAACACTTGTGTATATTCAAAAGTGAAGGAGAAATAGTGCTGTTGAATATACACAAGTGTTAAAAAAGTGAAGGAGAAATAGTTCTTTTTCCCATTGGAAAAAATGCAGTATACCTTACAGACACATAAGATAGTTATCAGGTTTACTGACTTCATTTTACTGCTGTGCTGCTGTATTGCTGTGCTCGTTTACTGTATTGGAACAAAGGCGAAGGAAAGAGTTGGTTGGGATCAAGTGGTAACAAGCCAGTGCTAGGCTGGGATTCAGTCTTGTGTGCCCACAGTGCAACACCTGCTTGACCAGGCCTTTCCATGGTCGATGACAGTAGTCAGCAGCAATACTTCTATGGCCATGGGCATGCCTCTGCAGGCTCCTCCTGACAAATATTCAGTGGTTATATTGATCCCTGTTGAAAGGGAACCTTACTGTTACATCCAGCCATCTGTTAGAACAGAAGGAGGTAGTGCGTAATACACGTGTGATTTCTTTTTGTTTTGTTTTCCCAAATTGACCCTGATAGGTTGGCTGTCATTCTGTCTGTCTGCATGTAAACGTACAATAAGGGACAGCTACAAATTGTTGGGGAGCTCGTTATCAGTTTTGAACATACTGATGGAAAATAGGTAACACACGGACTAGACGATCTTGTAGGTCCTTTCCAACCTTGTGATTCTATGATTCCATGACATCAGTGGACTTGTGGCTTTGGTGGCGATTGTTACTCGGACAGACTTTAACACCTGCTCACTTGAAATGGAAGGAGAGACCAGAATTGCAGTCTCTGGTGTGAAGTTGGACAAACCTGTGGTTGTTGGGGTAAGCAAGGCACTCCCATGAAAACTCATGTGGTTTGGTTTTTTTGGTTATATTTTGATCGATAGCAATTGGTTTACACTAAGCATACAGCCACCTGAAATTTAAATCTGATGTCTGGAGCACTATGGGCACTTGCTGCTGTGCTTTGGAAAAGATACCTTTCTTACATATGACCAAAACAAAGCCTGAAAAG